TTATCAACATAACTACCACTGTTTTTATTGAACTATGGGATATAAAAAAACTATCTCCTGTTAGAACTAAAAGTTTTACCATGTAATAAATGTAAATAATTCCTACATGGTTTGATTCCACAGAAATTGAATTATTACAAACAATATGATGGACTGCAGCTGATATATAATCTCAAAAAGTCGGGAAAATCTAACCACCTTTGTTAAATGTGTTAAATCTAAAAAACAACAAGCATGCCAGGAACTTTTGCCAGAGTTTAACAAAATAGCAATATACATTTACTTATGTAATTACAAAGATAATCAAAGATTATGAACCTCACCTCAACAAAACATTATCTATTAATAATAATAATAATAATATAATAATACTTTATTTAAAGAGGGTAACCCGATTAGTGCAATGCACTAGTCTTCCTCGGGGCCCTCTAAACATATTAATAATAATACAATTACATGTATGAAAACATTGTACACTAATTAAATAATACAACATGATGGAAACATAGGTAATCAAAGATTACGAAGCTCACCTCGACGAATGTTATCTACAAGTAAGGCAAATTTCACATCATATTTTTTTTCTAGTTAGGGTACATCCCAAGATCAATATCCACGCAAGTTTGATTTAATTATAGACCTGCTCAAAAAACTTTTGACCTGTTAAGTAATCAAAGAAAATTTTGGTCAGTTCCAACATCCAAACCAAGTCTGGAAGTTTTCATCCTTAGATGCACCATCTATGCAAGTTTAATCATAACAGGCCATAATATTATATAGCTACTCCAAAAAAATTACCCTGGTCACTCATCTGGAAAATGTACGTCAGATTCAGAATCCAAGGCAAGTCTGGAAGTGTCCATCCCTAGATACATCATCCATGCTAATTTGGTTAAAATATGGCTAAAATTCACTCATGTGGAAAATCTAGGTCAGATCCAGCATCCGAAGCAAGTGTGGTAGTGTCCATCCCTAGATGCATCATCCATGCAAGTTTGGTCCAGGTAGGGCTTATAGTTACTTGGGAATGGACCTGCTCCTTAAATTTAACCTGGTCACTCATCTGGAAAATCTAGGTCAGATCCAGCATCCGAAGCAAGTGTGGTAGTGTCCATCCCTAGATGCATCATCCATGCAAGTTTGGTCCAGGTAGGGCTTATAGTTACTTGGGAATGGACCTGCTCCTAAAACTTTAACCTGGTCACTCATCCGGAAAATCTAGGTCAGATACAGCATCCGAAGTAAGTGTGGCCATGTCCATCCCTAGATGCATCATCCATGCAAGTTTGGTCAAGGTAGAGCTTATAGTTTCTTGGGAATGGACCTGCTCCTAAAACTTTAACCTGATCACTCATCCGGAAAATCTAGGTCAGATCCAGCATCCGAAAAAGTGTGGTAGTGTCCATCCCTAGATGCATCATCCATGCAAGTTTGGTCAAGGTAGGGCTTATAGTTACTTGGGAATGGACCTGCTCCTAAAACTTTAACTTGGTCTCTCATCCGGAAAATCTAGGTCAGATCCAGCATCCGAAGCAAGTGTGGCCATGTCCATCCCTAGATGCATCATCCATGCAAGTTTGGTCCAGGTAGGGCTTTTAGTTACTTGGGAATGGACCTGCTCCTAAAATTTAACCTGGTCACTCATCTGGAAAATCTAGGTCAGATCCAGCATCCGAAGCAAGTGTGGTAGTGTCCATCCCTAGATGCATCATTCATGCAAGTTTGGTCAAGGTAGGGCTTATAGTTACTTGGGAATGGACCTGCTCCTAAAACTTTAACCTGGTCACTCATCCGGAAAATCTAGGTCAGATCCAGCATCCGAAGCAAGTTTGGTAGTGTCCATCCCTAGATGCATCATCCATGCAAGTTTGGTCCAGGTAGGGCTTTTAGTTACTTGGGAATGGACCTGCTCCTAAAATTTAACCTGGTCACTCATCTGGAAAATCTAGGTCAGATCCAGCATCCGAAGCAAGTGTGGTAGTGTCCATCCCTAGATGCATCATCCATGCAAGTTTGGTCAAGGTAGGGCTTATAGTTACTTGGGAATGGACCTGCTCCTAAAACTTTAACCTGGGACGCCGACGCTAACGCCGACGCCGACACCGACGCCGACGCCGGGGGTATAGCATAAGCTCATCTCGACTTCGTCGAGGTGAGCTAAAAATACAAGTACAATTAAAAGTTTAGGACATGGAATTACGTTACTTAAACAGTGTTGCGGCAAGTTATAATAAATTTTTCCACATTTTTACGAAATGTGTTTACAGTTGGTGAAAAACGTATATACAAAGGTAATTTGTTCCATAAATGAACACCGGAATAATGAAAAGAATTTTTAAATTGATTTGTTCAATATTTCGGTAGACGAAGGTCATAGTTGGTTTCAGATCGTAAAACATAATTATTAGAAGAAATAAATTCAAAAGAGTCTCTTAAATAATCAGGTGCCATTAGTATTAGTAAGGCATTGTTTCACATCAAATGAATGTTCTGGCAATGTGCATCCTTAAATGCAGTATCCATGCAAGTAATCAGTCTGATACTGACATGTAGTTATTTGGAAACAAATATGTTCCAAAATCTTTCAATCACCCAGAAACTGCCTTGTACGTCAAGATGCAGCATTATGGAAACAGGTCTGATAGAGTGCATCTCTAGATTCAACATCTACCTAATAGGGGACCAGGAAGTGCTTACTTGGGATTGGACCTACTCCAAAATAAACCTGTTCAATCATTCAGAAAATATAGGTCAAATGCAGCAGCCAAATATGTTTGGTACTGTGCATCCCTAGATGCATCATCCATACAACTTTTGTCCAGGTAGAGCTAAACAATATTTTGGAATGGATCTTTTCTAAAAACTTTAAACTGGTCACTAATCAAGAAACTATAGGTCAAATATAGCAACAAAAGCAAGTCTGGTGCCTCCAAGTCTGGTGGCCCTATATTTTTATAAAAGTTTGAACCTTTATTGTCACCTTCTCTGTGCCTCATTGGCCATGAAAAGAAACAAAACCAAAAATCATAATCCATAACTTTGCTTGCACTTCTGCAATCACAAATCTGGACATTGAGCTGATTGAGCTGTCTCATCTGACAGGACTAAGAATAGAGTGAACTAGAAGAAATTTGATCAGAAAGAATATTCAAAAGTAATGAATATACGAGGGTTGTTCGGAAAGTTCGTGGACTATGCCAATCTTCGTTATTCTATCTTCAAGAAATTTTCAAATAAACACATTATCATATGTAAAAATACTTATTTTTTTAAGTGTGAAGTTTCAATCCATGTGATTTAATAGAATTAATGTTATTTAATTTTAAAATTAACACGTTTTTTAACCACCGAGCAAACTCAACAACACTGTAGCGTCAAAACCATACCGACATGAGGTTCTCAAAATTACTATCCCTATACATTTCACACAGTGTTGCCCAATTTTGAATTCAAAATTACTATCCCTATACATTTCACACAGTATTGCCCAATACCAGTGTACTCATTAAAAAAGTTTCTTTATTACTTGAGAAATCTATTTTGCTAACAATTGTTCCAGTAGCATTATTTCGTTTGTCAATGTCATATTTTTTTCACTAGATAAGTGTGCTTTCACAAGATCAGCATTTAAAAAGCGCCAAATCCTTAGCATGACATTACGAACTTTTCATGTTTTTGATAAGATTTTTACAGATAATCAGTTCTCTCTCAGATCACCATCATCTAAGCAGAGTAGTATATCATTCAAATACCGCTTGTACCAATGTACAAACACATGCATGGCTCGCTTTTGACATATTTCCTACTTCCTCCGGCATTTTCAGAGTTTTTTTCTGGAGTTTTCCAGAGTACAACACAAAATTGTATGGTTAACTGCTGCTCTGTGACATTCCACGGCATCATCTTTTTTGCCTTTTTCAATGAGGACTACCTATCTTCTGAAGCCGATTTCTTTTCAACGAAGTAAAATATTAAGTCATAATTTGGAATCAGAAACTATGAAACAATTCTTCATTTGAACCTGGAGAATTTTTACATTTTTGTGTCATTTTACAGAATGTATGACTTCAGACATTACTGGTATTTAATGTCTTGATTGTAAATTACAAAATTTTGACCTGCTCCATGATCCGATTTTCGCATTTTTTAAGTCTAAATAAGTTTGAAATAAATCACGATATTTTAAAAATTTTTATGCCCTGTTCACACGGAGAGTTTAATTCGCAGTAAATTAATGCGAAGTAAAATGATGCGAATTAAATTGCGTTCACACGACAGCTAATGCGAAGTAAACTATTGCGAATCATAATTTTTTTATTCAACAAGCTATTCAGTGAGGCTATTATGACGTCATTTACAAATCACGTCATATTTTGCAGAGCAGTATACATTTGACATAATGTCATAGTGTCTGTACACATTTTAGTTATTAACATAATTTTCCTTTGTTTTCCACTCAAAAATAGCACAGGTACCTATATTTGACCATCGACATGTGGCCTGTGACTTAATTCTGCCCTTACGCGTGCGTCAAAATTTAATTCGAATTAGCTTCGCTTAGCGTTCACACGGAGCTAATGCGAAGTAATTTAATGCGCAGTAAACTAATTCGAATTAAATTAATTCGCATTAAATTCTTCATGTGAACGCGGATCAAATTTAATTCGCAGTAACTTACGTTTAATTCGAATTAAACTCTCGTGTGAACAGGGCATTAGTACACATCATTTGAATTTACTGTTGAAATATTTCTTTCAAATTTGGATATAATACCACGTTAAGTAAAAAAGTTATAACTGTAGTGCACGAACTTTCCGAACAACCCTCATATATGTAGATGACTGTCTATTTAAGGATATGACACACAGAGGTGCTGGTAAGAGCCAATCCTCTAAAATAAATGGAAGGTAATTGGTGATCTGAGTTACCCTGATGATCTAATATTCTCTTTACCTGAGTCCAGACACTGAGGTGTGTATACCTCTACACGCTATACTTACAGCTCGTAGTTTGCCCCTCTGTATGATCAGCTGGACAGGGTAATCTCCGAAACATTCTATGGTGAAGTTTTCACCACTGTTTAGGACGAGGTCTCCCGTACTTGTGTAGATTGTGTCATTTTCTGATCCCAGACTGCTCTCTTTAGCAGGATAAATCTCCATGTTGGGCCTCAGGTCAGTTGATGTGACACGTTTAAACTCTGTAAAACATTAATCTTAGAAAGTTATTCTTTTTAGCCAAGTTAAAAAAAAATGTCTGTGATTCTTACAAGTAAGCAAAGCCAGCACATTAAAAGATCCTTAAAGAAGTTCAATCTTTGAATGATACACAGTAAACCACCTTCTATTTGTGTATGTGAGAAATATCCAGGAGTTTCGAGACCTTCTTAATATTATCTCTCTTATTTTTCTCTTTGCAAAACAATTATTTATTGTATACTCATGTAGAATGTTTCCTCGGTTGCAAAAATTAATATCTGCAGATTTCAAACTGGCAAATCATAAATAAAAGTTGTCATGAATAATGGCTGGTTTAAAATATAATGATAAAGGTAAAGAGCTTTAGATATTTGTGTAGAAATATAAATTCTACTACACTTCAATGACCAATACTCACCCTATTGATAATGATATTGAATATTTATCATGTTTATACAATAGCTGTAGAAATGTTGGCTCTCTTATCAATTTCAATGATTAGTGTGGGTAAAAACTCAATAGAACGTACAAAGCTGAAACTTAAAATTACTTTTACATAAGATTTGCAATAGTCTACCAGAGTTTTCAATTTTTACCTTTTTTAAATGCTGAAGCAAAAAGTAATCTCTTAAGATTTAGAAAGGAAAATCTGGAATGTGATACACAAGAACCAAAAAAAAAAAAAAAAAAAAGAAAAGAAAAGAAAAAAGAAAAGAAAACAGCAAATTAAAGATGTTTCAATCTGTGCTCTTGTGGGAGTGTTCAAGGGCATTCCCTTTTGATATACTTCTAGCAGATGCAAGTCTGCATTGTATTTTACACCTGCAGCAGAAGATGTTTCCAAGTGGAGGTGTGATTTTGTCTGTGATGTGCATAAATCTAGCTCTTATACCAATTCATAAACAAAATACGTCACCTAATGAAGAAAAAGTTTGGCTAAATCTCAAGAGCTGTAAAGTGGAGTGGTGTTAATTATAACTCCATCTCACTACTATATGCCCAGTCAACTAAAGTTTGTTGTTATTTTGCCCAGACTGTACTGAAAAAGTATTGGTATAAACTCATAATGGGTACTTTGCTTCAATTTTTTTTTTCAGCTTTGTGAATAGAATGTTTGCCTGAGCTGATTTTGTAAACAAGTTACAAGCCCTAAATCATAATCTAACTTTTTTGAAGAATACAAATATGAATACAGTTTACTGTTTATATTAGAGGACTGTGTTCTTCTAATTCACTGAAAACACTAGAATATATGTCCATAGGACACAGATACCCACCTAATATGATAATTCACACACCATTAAAAAAACAAATGTACCTTATTTCTTTAGGTCTTTGCCATTGGTAAAATACAATGAAAAAAGAAATATATTTATATTTCGGTCCATATACAGAACCAAAACCTTTGATTCAGTTGTTTTCTTTGAAATCAAGATTTGTACTACAATGTATATAGTGTTGATTCATCCTATCCACACATGCAGTTAAATGATATGCTATAATTTTTCAAAGTTCATTCTCCTTAAGGTTCATTGATACTTAAATAAGAGAGATAACTCTTAATGACTGTATGTATGTTGTTTTATGTCCTGTTCGAGAATTTTTCACTCATATAGAGACGTCACCATATACTGGTGAAGGACTTCAAATTTAGACCTTTACTCGGCACTCTGAGGGCCATTGAGCAGTGAGGGTTCTTTATCGTGCCAACGCCTGCCTTGACACGGGGCCTTGGTTTTAAAGGTCTCATCCGGAGGACCCATAACTTTCATTTCAAAGTACCGAGCGCTTGGCGAAGGAACAGTTGCTACCTATTTTTTATTGACTTAGGTCAATCGCAGCCATGGTTCAAACACATGACCTTCCAATCACAGAGCGAGCGCTCTACCGACTGAGCTACCATGACAGTCAACTCTTAACGACATAAATGTCTATTATTCCTTTATAATCCTGTCAAGTTGAAGTGTCTTTTTTGTCAAATTTTGTCATATTTTACACCGCAAGCTATGCTATATAATTGTTTGTATTTTACTTAAAAAATACATTTCTTTTGGAAAATCATAACAGCTAATGAAACATTTTATATGAGTGAGCAGAGGGTTTATTAACCTTAAATGAAATTTTCTTTTAATTCATTATACATGATCTTTAAAGATGTTTTTGTCTCAACAATTTTTTTTTATCAAAGTCCATGGTACCTCTAAAAAATACTGTGAAAACAATAATATTCGTGAGGGTTTAATTTTTGTTGTTTTCAAGGTATGAAGAGACCCACAAATTAATACCCACGACGAAATGTAAAATGTCATATACATAACTCAATTCTTCATCCCCGATATAAAATCCCCACAAACCCATATTTTTTCTCAAACCATGAAAATTTGACCCTAGGAAAATACATGTATGTGATTTAACTGCAGGTGCAAAATTATGATGCATTTTTAATCATTAAATCCAAATTAGTCCAACCCTGGAGCTTGAGTCCTGGGATTTCTTACTTTGGATGAAAGCTTAAGGTTTACCATAATTATGCAAGTAGTTTGCCTAGCTGATCAGGAGTAAAACAAAGACTTTCAATGGCGTATATGTTTTGTAATGGGGTTCAAATCCTGAACCTAGAGGATTTTTGGTAGAGAACTCATTTCTTATGTTCATTTAAACTGTTTGTCTCCTAGACATCCAAAGTAGATTTCTAAAGGTTGCATCAATTTGGATGGTTGAAGTTCCAGCCCTCAGAGAGATAGAATTGAACACAAAATTCATATATCTCAGTTCCTTTTCACCCATAAATATTTTTTAATCAAAGTTGGTAAAAATTTATCCTTTCAGAAGAGAAGCAGAAAATTTACGAAAGATTATAATTGCTGTACAATGTACATCTAGTGACTGACAACTACAGATGGAAACAAATATCAATAGGTCACCTAAGTGACTAGGATGATCTAAAAAATTTGATATGCAACTTACTCACCAACATTGCTGAGAAATATATTTGTGTTGTGATCAACAGATAATGAATATATGTACAAGTTTATGTATTCCTTTTTTTTAAGAACAGAATGTTACTACCTTCATTTTCAAAAGGTATCAAATTCATGACAAAACACAGTACTCAGGTATTTGTTTTCTCGTTGCTACAAATAAGTATGATACATGTACAGTCATTCCAGAAGAAATGTATGTGGACTCACCTGTACAATTCTTTCCGACCCAGTTTGAGCTACAGGTACAATGGTAATCACCATTTTCGTTGGTACAGGTCCCGCCATGTTCACAAGGAAAACTCAGGCACTCATTTGTGTCTATCCAAATAAAAATGACTCTATTTGCAGATTTATGACACATTAACCTGTTTCTCCCAACTGAAGGAGACATACAGATTTTGACATATTTGACCACCGGACTGTTTGTGATCGTTTTTCTATGGAAACCTTTATTGGAATGGATTCATTTCAGTGTGATTTCCCATGACCAAAAAGTGTGTCAATTTTTAACTCTTCATACATCAAAACTCAAGGTCACTGGGGGAATAAGACAGTAAAATGATGTATGGAGTATACATATGGAACAACTAATTTGAATATTTTGTTACTGATGATCCACAACTGTATTATGATCTTGTCTCAAGGTCGTACCTGAAGGTTAAGGTCAAATAAGGTATTGGGATATTGAAATTATTGGAAGGCAATAAATTTGGAAACCTTGACTAGAATGAATTGAGTTTGTTGTTGCTGATTATACCTCAATGTGTGTAATGACCTTGATTTTACGTCATATCTCAGGTTTCCTTGGCAATAAGATGTTGATATTATGATACAAATTTTGTAGAGTCAATAACTTTGAATCATGGCTTAAATATAACAGTTTTGTTTATGGTGATAAGCACATTAACTAGAGATGTTTTATATATAATCAATTCAAGCTAGGACACAGGTCATGCAGTGATGACTAGTAGTATAATTAGGGAGAAACATCCATTTTTATCATCAATAATTAGTACTTATGCTTTTACCTGTTATGAAAGATAGAAACTACAAAAGAGTTTATCTACTGAGATATATAAATCAATTTTAAGAGAAGAATGATAACATTTTAGAGTGCCACAAGGCAAAATAGTGTAACAAATATGTATTTATTCAATATGTGAACACAGCAATGACCTTCTGTATTTTTTTTTCCTGGCACTGAACAAAATGACTGAAAGCCATACCTTATGTCCAAGTTGTGAGAAAACTCAAATGGCAAAGAATGTGTATTCTTTCTGAGTTCTCACTGGGTTATAAGCTATAACCAGGTTTTCTTCCCTTAACAGTTACTTCATTTAAAACAAATTTCAAATTGCTTCTTTAAAGACCTTGAGATCAAAGTTAATACTATGAAAATTTATAGAGACAAATAGCATTTAAAAGTGAGTCACCTTGACAATTATGTCATGAAAATAGACAATTCACCTTCTAAAATCAATTTCATGCATGCAAGTGGACCTAATTCATTCCAAAAACTATTATAAGCAGTTTACAGGTAAATTAATCAGGCATATTTGTATTGAAACTTTATCTGTGATATAAAAATATATATATATATATGATTGACCTGGTTTTGGTAACCATTGATGTCAGGAATAAGTGATATTACCATTTGCATTTAGAATATGATACAGAAGTTTAATGACGTAATTGTGGAAATTACTATAAAATGTTTAGTAATTGCCAGTTTTTATTTTATCACTCATTTTCCCCCATATTGGATGATATGACTAGTTTGCTGTTGGACTGAATTAATTGATTCTAATCTCTGATGAAGGATTAAGTTTAGAACTCTGTAGTAAGCAAACAATAATCAGCAACTCTGCAACCCTTCATCAAGGCTTTGAACAGCCTTTGTGGTAATCAGTGACATAGATCTGGTCCTAGACAGAACAAGATGTGTCTCTGAAACATGGATACCCCAACAAGGCAGCTCATTGCAAAGGTTAAAGTTTCTGTAATGCAACTTAAACTCCAAGGTCAAGAAATAAAAAAATTGTTGGTACCCAAAGAAAGTTCTAGACTTGTCACAAGAAAAACACATGGTGAAAATGAAAGTTCTTGCAGCAACCATTCAGAAATTATGGTCAAGGTGAAAGGTTTTTAAAAGTTGGTCAAACTCTAAGCTCAATATCATGAGGTCAAAAATATTAGTACTTAAGGAAAGGTCTTGTCAAAAGGAATAGATCTGTAAAATGTGAAAGCCCAAGCATCAACTGTTCAAAATTTATGGTCAAAGTTAATTTTTTTCACAAGTCGGTTAAACTTCTAGGTCAAGGTCAAAAGTTCGTTGTTGTTGGTATCCAAAGGAAGGTCTTGTCACAAGGATTACACTATGTGAAGTATGAAAGCCCTGGCTCCAACCATTCAAAAGTTATGGCCAAGGTTAAGGTTTTTCAAAAGTAGGTCAAACTTGAAGGTCAAAGGTCAAAAATGTTTCCAAGGTAAGGTCTTGTCACAAGGAATACACATGTGAAGTATGAAAACCCAAGTGTTCAAAAGTTGTGACCAAGATTAAGTTTGGTAAAATTTTGGAAATGTGGGACACGCTCCAAGGACAAGGTCAAAAAGTCAAATATGTTGGTACCCAAAGAAAGGTTTTGTCACTAGCAATATACATTTGAAATATGAAAGCCCTAGCTTCAAATGATAAAATTTATGGACAATGTTAAAGTTTTGCAAACAGGCAGGCAGATGGACAGAGCAAAAAGTATATGACCTCAAAACCTTAATTGCAGGAGCATAAAAACTGAACAAGATAGTTTTTCTTTTACACAATGGTTAAATCTGTAACTATCTGCTTCAGTCTAAGTAATGATCTAAATATCTATACATCAATACTATACACCAAATTTCATTTTCATTTATTACTAGTACTATTACTTATCTGTATTGTGTGCTGATAAATAAGAGCACTTACCTAATTCACAGAAATTCCCACTCCACTGTGGCAGGCATACACAAGTGAAGTTGCCATTTGTATCTATACATACACCATCTTTGTGACAAGGTCTTATTGAGCAATCAGTATCTTCCACTGAAACTGAAAAGATAACACACTGATTAAAACATGGTCCTTCAACGAAATAAAATACAATCTACCATACTGATTACAACAGTGCCTTCCCCTAAAAATGCTATACATTACTGATTATAATAATGCCTTGGTATGGGTTCCACTAAAGAATACTGTGACAGATGTAGTGATAGCAATATTATAATCACGACGTTTTAACTTTTAACTATATCACTTGAATACATTTTTTTTATAAACTGTGTCTTGATATGACCCCCGATTGCTGTCAGATGATGTGCATTGTCAAATACAAGTTATTTTCTTTGCTATTTAAGACTTTAATGCTGATATGATGTTGAACTAAATGTTATCTATAGTTTCCTATATTGTTTACGTGATCGCATAATTAAAACGGTGTTTATTTAGCTATTATTCGGTAAATATTGTTACCTGGTATGCTTTCGCCACATGGTTGTTATTCCAGAAGTGCAATTTCCCATAATGCATTATTTTTAAGATGTGAAAAGTTGTAAGCGGCGATTTATTTAATTAATTGTATTTCAATTATTTTATAATTATTTCGAAATTTACTTTGTTTATAAAGTATTTATAATATTTTACTTGTTTCTATTTTCTGGTGAAAAATATTGTGCACACTTTTTCGTTGCCGTGGGAATTGGGGTATCGCTTATCGCCTGTGATTGGTTGATGATCAGGTGCACGATGTTTCTGATTGGTGAACGTATTTTACGTCATTTCGTAGTATTTAATGACGTATCTATAGTAAGAACGCAGAGTTGCAGCGTTTGAACAGTAGGCTACACCACTGTATCAAGGTGTGTGTTTAACTTAGTTCTTTAATATGGGGGAAAACTTTATTCAGAGATTGAATAATATTTATTTACCAGTATATTACTGGTTTAGATTTTCAAGTTGACTGGTTTATTACCAGTTTGGGATTATACTTAGGATTACCAGGATTTTTATTAGGTCTAAGAGAGTTAGACTTGCACATGAATTATTATTACTGGATAAGACTCCAGTTATAGAGGTTTTTGTTAATTTATGAAACACCAGAGATTTTGTGAATATTGAACAGTATTGTTTTGTTTCTGTGTCCTGTGAAATAAATTTATAAACTTTCAATAGAGTTCTTGACTGGTTGAAAACAGTCCAGTTAGCGCATCTGCACGTTACAAATACACGTGTACAATATACTAAATACAACAGTGCCATCCACGGAATTTGAAGGAATATATACATGTATAGTATACCAATTACAATAGTACCTTCCACTGAAAGAATTTACACTATATACTGATAATAATAGTGCCTACTAGTGAAAGAATCTACAATATATATACAGATTATAATAGTGCCTGCCACTTAAAGAATTTACACTATATACTGATAATAATAGTGCCTTCTAGTGAAAGAATCTACAATATACAGATTATAATAGTGCCTGCCACTTAAAGAATTTACACTATATAATGATAATAATAGTGCCTTCTAGTGAAAGAATCTACAATATATATACAGATTATAATAGTGCCTGCCACTTAAAGAATTTACACTATATACTGATAATAATAGTGCCTTCTAGTGAAAGTCAATCTACAATATATATACAGATTATAATAGTGCCTGCCACTTAAAGAATTTACACTATATAATGATAATAATAGTGCCTTCTAGTGAAAGAATCTACAATATATATACAGATTATAATAGTGCCTGCCACTTAAAGAATTTACACTATATACTGATAATAATAGTGCCTTCTAGTGAAAGAATCTACAATATATATACAGATTATAATAGTGCCTGCCACATAAAGAATTTACACTATATACTGATAATAATAGTGCCTTCTAGTGAAAGAATCTATAATATATATACAGATTATAATAGTGCCTGCCACTTAAAGAATTTACACTATATACTGATAATAATAGTGCCTTCTAGTGAAAGAATCTACAATATATATACAGATTATAATAGTGCCTGCCACATAAAGAATTTACACTATATACTGATAATAATAGTGCCTTCTAGTGAAAGAATCTACAATATACAGATTATAATAGTGCCTGCCACTTAAAGAATTTACACTATATACTGATAATAATAGTGCCTTCTAGTGAAAGAATCTACAATAATATATATATACAGATTATAATAGTGCCTGCCACTTAAAGAATTTACACTATATACTGATAATAATAGTGCCTTCTAGTGAAAGAATCTACAATATATATACAGATTATAATAGTGCCTGCCACATAAAGAATTTACACTATATACTGATAATAATAGTGCCTTCTAGTGAAAGTCAATCTACAATATATATACAGATTATAATAGTGCCTGCCACATAAAGAATTTACACTATATAATGATAATAATAGTGCCTTCTAGTGAAAGAATCTACAATATATATACAGATTATAATAGTGCCTGCCACTTAAAGAATTTACACTATATAATGATAATAATAGTGCCTTCTAGTGAAAGAATCTACAATATACAGATTATAAAAGTGCCTGCCACTTTAAGAATTTACACTATATAATGATAATAATAGTGCCTTCTAGTGAAAGAATCTACAATATATATACAGATTATAATAGTGCCTGCCACTTAAAGAATTTACACTATATAATGATAATAATAGTGCCTTCTAGTGAAAGAATCTACAATATACAGATTATAAAAGTGCCTGCCACTTTAAGAATTTACACTATATACTGATAATAATAGTGCCTTCTAGTGAAAGAATCTACAATATATATACAGATTATAATAGTGCCTGCCACTTTAAGAATTTACACTATATAATGATAATAATAGTGCCTTCTAGTGAAAGAATCTACAATATACAGATTATAAAAGTGCCTGCCACTTAAAGAATTTATAATATACTGATTACAATGAAAGAATTCATCCATGAAAGAATCTACAATATGCTGAAGATAGTAGTGCCTTCCATGAAAGAATCTACAATATGCTGAAGATAGTAGTGCCTTCCATGAAAAAATCTACAATATATATACAGATTATAATAGTGCCTGCCACTTAAAGAATATATAATATACTGATTACAATGAAAGAATTCATCCATGAAAGAATCTACAATATGCTGAAGATAGTAGTGCCTTCCATGAAAGAATCTACAATATGCTGAAGGTAGTAGTGCCTTCCATGAAAGAATCTACAATATATATACAGATTATAATAGTACCTGCCACTTAAAGAATACATAATATACTGATTACAATGAAAGAATTCATCTATGAAAGAATCTATAATATGCTGAAGAATTAGTAGTGCCTTCCATGAAAGAATCTACAATATGCTGATTACTAGTGATGGGAATCGGTAAGAATTTCATAATCGATGATGAGGTTACTGTAACTAACTAATTATTGAATATAATCAGACATTTATAAAGTCTATCAATTTAGTTAATTAAATGGTAAGAATGGGTAAATGACTACTTTCTGTGGTTGTCCAGCTGGCCCTTTGTTCATTTTGTAGAACCCAAAGTACATCCATACCCGAGAACATGCTTTATTACCCGGGTATGGATACAATTGTCTGTAGATTGTCGTACATCTGCACCATTAGGATACACAAATAAGTTAATAGATAAGTCGCGGCTAGAATATTCAGCTTAAAAACTATTACGCTTGTCATATTAAACAAGAGGCCCAAGGGCCTTAACGGTCACCTGAGTACAATACAACAATTTAGAGGATCCATAGAGTATTAAAATGAAAGGTGAAGTTTTGTTGCCCAAAAGCAAGAAAAATAGGGTGATCAGGGTCAACAAAATAAATAGTCTAGTATTCATTAACAGTTTATAGATTAGGTTCTAATCTGTTCCCCATTTATCACTATTACCATAAGTATATTAACAAACTATCAGTGCTTCTATACTATTTTAATTCCTTGTTGTAATCTTTTACATTGGCCTCTCTTGGTCTTTGATGAACATTTAATAAGACAAGTTATTTTTGTCTCATTTTTATTTATCTATTACTTACAAGTCCACCTGATCATTAAAACTACGAAAATACTTTTTGTATTATACAATAAAAATTCTTGCATAATTCTCTTATTCTATTAACCTTTCAAGTACATTATTTACAGTGATTAATTATCAAAAGTAAATGGTAAAGGGGAATAACTCCTCTCAGTAGAATGCAAATTGAGCCCTGGCTAGGACCAGAACACTTGACCAAATGGTCCAGATGTTCAAAAATCTGGTAAAAATACACTTCCTTATTACAACTTTTACTCTTTTTGCCTCTGATACGCCCAAGTGCAGAGAAGATTTTTAAAGAAATAATGCATTTTTCCTACAGATTCACTATATTATCAATAGAGACCCCCTTCACCACCGAGAAACACCAGAGCCTCTCACCCTGGGACCAGAAGTTTGCTCTCCATAAGTAATCACTTTCTTTACATGTATCTGCTTAACATTAAGGAGCTGACAGGATTATTTAATAGAATTAATGCATTTTCACTATATTATCAACAGCCCCACCCTTACACCAGCACATCTGACCTAGGGGTCATGCAATTCACTACTCTGGAAGAAGCACTCTTGCTCATCATAACTATATACTTAGCTTCTCTGCTTTTTAACCAGAAGCAGAAAAGAATATTTTAAAAGAAATTTTGCTTTTTCACTATATAATCAATAGATCCCCCCCCCCCTTTTCACCAGAACCCTTGACCCTGGGGCCATGAAATTCATAATTTTAGAAGAGGCATCCTTGCTTATCATAACAATGTACTTAGTTTGTTTAAATAGTACCCAGGGGCAGAGAAGAAGATTTTCAAAGAAATAATTCACCTTCACTATAGGAGCTATATAGCCCCAACCTAGCACCAGAACCCCTGTCCCTGGGGCCATGAAATTCACAATTTTGGAAGAGGCGTCCTTGCTTATCATAACAATGTACTTTGTTTGTTTAAATAATACCCAGAAGCAGAGAAGAAGATTTTTAAAGCAT